CACCTCTGTATTTATTAGAAACCTGAGGTGCTTGAGTTCCGGATTTAATGTATTCCCTGCGGGTTTCGAACCCACGCGCCTTGGTTTCCCACGCCAAGGCGCTACCGGGTGGCCGCATTAACCATTCAGCCACCGGGGCTTGAACTGTAGACTAGATCAATATCATTTACATAGCTTGAAGATCTCACTATTTTTATATCTTTATTCTTGAATAGATATACATTATATATTATAAATAAAACTGATGAGATTGAAGATTCTTACAGTACTTTTATTTTTATCTCAGTCTTATCTTATTTCATTTCATTAAAGAATAATTATATAATTCTTTTGTATATAAAACAGTTAACTCATTTTATTAGAGAAAGTGATAATTTTAATATCTTTAAAGTTTGACTTATCTTTGACTTTGATATATGATTAAATACATCTTTTATATTAATAAAAACTGCAGTTGAGACCAGATCTTCATACTTTGCTATTTAAATATTATAAATAACTCAGAGAACACTGTCAATTACAGAGCATTGTTTTCTATCAATCATTTATTCACTAAATAGAAGAGAATCACTAATAGAGCTTATAAATGATAGTCTAGTAGATATTATCTTTTCTAAAATCTTTCTCAGACAGTTCAATAGAGATATTACTCTATATAACTTAGAAATTGAAGCTTTTCTACTAGATTTTACAAGAATTACTTCAGTGGCTTCTCTCCGGTATTCAGAATAATAATTATTTTTCAAGAGATTGAAAAAGAGCTTCAAATCTTCATTCTTTAAGTAGAAATATGTTTTTTGAATAATTAAGTGATTGATTGAATCAGGCTCTGCAGCAGTTTTAATTGAACTTGAGCAGATAGCTGACTCTAATTTATCTTATGTAAGTTCAGGTCATTGTCAGTTATTTTCATTAATATAGTTATAAAGTGATACATTCTGTTTCTATGAATCTGAATCAGATGAGTTTTGAAAGAGAATTCTTATAAAAGCTTAATATTTTTTCTCAAAAGAATTTACTGTATGTGATTTATTCTGAATCTCATATTCTAAGGCTGGAAGTTTTGCTACACTTCTTGTTTTAGTATAGTTAAAAGCTTTAAAAACCTCTTTTTCTTATGCTTCTTCATGAAATTTGTTTCAGCAGTCTGTTTTATTTCTTTTAATATCTGAAAAATATTTATTTCTCACTGCTTTGAACTCTTTATCAGATATTACATCATTCTTTCAATCTCTTCTAGCAGTGAGTAATTGTTTTCTTTTAAATATGATATTCTCATTTCATCAAGATTTGAAATACTCAGAAGACTTTTTGTTTGTAATATTATCTTTAATACTTGTTAGAATAATAGATGTAATATACTTTACTCTATTCTCAAGTATTTCATTTGAGATATCTTAACTGAGATTTTAATACAGCTCACTCTGCTTTTCAGATTTTAACAGTTTTATACTTTCTTCAACTGCTTTTCAATCAGCTTTTTCAAAGTTATACTGATTAGAGAGAAGAGGGTTTTCACTCATTTGTTTTTCACTCAGTTTAATATTAAATTAAGCAATCTCATGATCTGATCCTGATGTCTCATTTAAATCAATAAACCAGTTTATAAGTCTTTTTTTTCATTAGATTTTATGATATGAAGATTAGATCTATAATAGATTTCTGTTTCATATCTTTTCTAAAGAATGTTTGTTGATCAGACTTGTTAACTAAATCTATTAAATACTCAAAAGATTATTCAACTAGTTTATCTACTCTTACTGCTCTTTCACTAATTATCTTTAATAATAGTGATAAATATCTCAGTTTGAGTTCAACTTTCACTTCATTCTTATCTCTATCAATAAAATTGTAAGAATATCACACATTATCAGTGAAATAGTTGAATATGTACTTTTAACATTTTTTTATAGCTTTAGAATCGATTTGATATTCAAATTTATCAGATTATTTTGAAAATAGCAGTTAAATTCAGTTTTACAAGTATGTAATTTTGCCTGATTTTTAATTGCAATTAATATATACAAGTTCTGTTTCAAAGTTAGCATTAAAGATTTATATAATATAAAGGATTATCAAAAATTATTACTTATCAGAGAATTGTATTTCACTGTCTTCATATCTCTAATATCTGCTTATTCAAATCTCTGATAGTTGATATTATAGTAGCCTCAGATTAATTTAATATATAAGTCTCATTTCTTCTCTATTCAATGTTGAGAAGTGTAAATATTAATTTAATATGAGAGATCTAGTAGAGCTGCTATAGTATAATACTCTGTAAAAGATTGTGCAGTTTTGCTGTAATAATATAACTTATCAGTTTATTTCTTACAGTAATAATAGCCTGTGTTATAACATCATCTCAGACTGAATTTCTTTTTAAGTGATTGAAGTGCTTCTTAAGATAAGTAAATAAACTGTTATACACTTATCAGACTTAACTGCAGTATTAATGTATCTCTCTATATATTAAAGAAAAATCAACTTTTCCGTTGTAATAAAACATCACGTGTATTTCATATCTCTCTTACTTCTTCTATTATTACTATTATCTTTAACATCTTGTAGCACTCTCTATTACTTCTACTCTTATCTTATCACTTACTCTCTTATTATCTCTACTATCTCTATTACTCTCTTATTACCTTTATTATCTCTACTTTCTTTATTATTACTACTATTTCTACTGCTCTGCAGCTTTCTCTATCACTTTCACTTTATATCTCTATCTTTATCTTACTACTCACTCTCTTATTATCTCTATTATTTCTTTCAATTCTGCTCTCTCTTTACTACCTCTATAATCTCTATTATCTCTATTATCTCTATCATCTCTTTTATCTTCACTCTCTCTATTATTATTACTATCTCTACTGCTCTTTAGTCTTTTCTATTACTTTTACTATCTCTACTTCTCTCTTACTATCTCTTTTACATTTTAATCTCTGTGTAAAAGTATATACTGTTAAATACTCTGTAATAAAATCTCATGTAATATCATATATATCTTTTTAAATTTATGAATGAGATTGAATAGCTGCCTCTGCAGTTTATACAGATCTGATTAATCTGATAATAATAATAGAGATAATAGAGAGTAAAAGAGAGTAGTAGAAGAAATAAAAGTAATAATGATAATAGAGAGAGTAAAGAGTGAAAGAAGTGAAAGAAGTAATAAGAGTAAGTAGAGATAAAGAGTAAAAGTAATAGAGAGATTGTAAGTAGACTGACTGCTAAAATTATAAATTTCACATTTAATCTCATTTAATTTAATCTCATACATTTCTTGATGTGAATTCTGCTGAGACTAATTATTAAAAAAACATACAAAGTAACTATTTATCAGATCTCAAAATGAAATCATAACTTAGAAAAAATAAGAAAGTGATTTTATTTAATCTTATTTAATTTCATTCTTGATATAAAGTTACTATTTTTAGACATTTTAAGGTTTTTTTTAGACTATTTTTAATTTTTAAAAAGTATCACTTTTTGATAATTCTTAAATAAGATTTAAAGTTATTTAAAGTAATAAAAAGAATTTAAATTGAGAAGTGAAAATCATGTTCTCATT